ATGTTATGCACTTTGAAGGTTTCACAATGCAATCGAGGAAAAAGGTTCTACAATCTGTCATTCATCCTACAGATATTTCATGATGCAATTTTTATGTTTAGAAATTATTGAATATGTTTAGCTTACTTATAAGAATGTTATATTATGCATGAACATCATCCGATTTGACACTTAATATTTACTATACATCCTCAATATATTCCCAATTTTCACAGTCTGATATGGATTTTAGTCATCTGGTATATACACAATATCTGATATTTAAAACAATAACCACATCTGCAAAAGCTAACGAAAAAAATGAAAAAGTACCAAATTTGATAACAGGGTAAATGTTAAGGACCTTTATTGATGAGTTTCAAACATTAACAACCCCAAATGAAATCGGGCTAAACATTAGGGACTTGTAATAAAGTTTTGCTTTTTGCATACCCATGATTTTATTATATATGCAAATAACAATTTATCAGGGCCTAAAAGATTAGTGTTTGGTGTAGACATTATCTGCATGATTACTGAAAGATGTATTCAAAGAGACTGCCACAGTTCAACAAGAATTAGCTAAGACCCATACTGCATTCAATTGCAAAACTAAGCAGTAATGAATTCCTCATAAAGAGAACCAAATTGAATTAATCTCTTCAAATATTAATCTCTTCGAAAAGAATCTGGCAAAAAAAAAACAAGGTGTATTAATTAGTCACTTCGAAAAGAATCTGCATGATTACTGAAAGATGTAACCAAAGAGACTGCCACAGTTTAAAAGATAAGAATCTGGTGCAGGTTCATCTGAAAGAAGATGTATTGGAAAGAAATAACTAAAAGCCATATTTGCATTCAATTGAAAACATTGAAGTAAATTATTCCTCTCAGAAGATGCTTGACCAAGCTGAAACCAATTCAATTCAAATATTAACTAATCTTAAGAAAAGAATATTAAAGATATAACAAACAATCCTGTGGTTATCATCAATAGATGACTTGTATCCTTCCCCCAGTCAGGACCAAAATATGTTGCCAGTAATACACACTCACTCAGACCCTTCATCGTCAGTAACAATTTCACCAATCAGAGCAAAGCGGAAGAAGCCTTCAACTCCTCGAACACCTTCACTGCCGGTTGATTCAACGCCACAGCTCCAAACTGGACGCTCGAGTACTTCTTGTACACTGCTTTCAGCTTACTCTCTGGTGCAGCCGAATGAGAGTTAACCAAAATCTGAGCACAATCCCTGCAACCAAATTCAATCATCAGCCCACAACAAAATCGAACTAGTTATATAACACGACGACTCGTTAATGAAGAAAAGAACATACAATAGTTGTGGCTCGGAGAATCCAGAATGGTGTTTGAGAGTTTGAGTCCACAATGGAGTCTTCTTTAAAGTGCATCGAGCTGCATAGACTGCAGAGGCAGCAACCATTGATGGGCAGTATCTGATCATAGAGTATTGTAGCAGACCCAACTCGGCAAAGAAGAAGACCATGTGTTCTAACTGTTTCAATGGATAAAATGAAATGGGGGCTTTATTAGCATTTAAGATTGAATCAAGATAGATATAGACTGAACCAGATTTTTTTTCTTACCTCTTTATCACACATTGCAGCCTTTATGAATCGCACGAGAAATACGTATGGAGTTGGAACGGTTAGGCTCCATTCGAGTCTGTTCAGGATTGATTTCTCCATGCCGAGTATTTGGCCTTGGCTGTAAGCTCGGTCTGATATGCATATGAAATCCTCAACCTGTGATCAAAATTTGTACGGTTATACTTATCAGTTTTGCAAGTCATCTATTCAATAAATAATTTGCTATGGTATTTCAGGTTTTCAGTAATTTGTGATGCCCAGAAGATAGTTTTCAGTAGTTTGTGCATTTGTTAAGTTCTGATAATAACTCAAATATTTGCTGGTATGCACAAGAACCCTTAACCTGTGCACACAATTAGTACGGTTCACTAGTCATTTTTCAGGGTACACATTCAATAATAATTTGCTATGCTATTTCAGTACTGAGGAAAAATTACACTGATTTACAAAGATATGCAGCTGAATAATAGTAACAATAATGATGAGAACCATAATTATCATCAGTAATCTAGGATTCATAGTACTCAGAAGATAGTTCTCAGTAATGTGTGGAATTTGTCAAGTTCTGAAGGTGATTCGAAAATATCAGGCACAATTGAAAAGGAACTCAGAAAAAGTACTAAAAATTACGGGAAATTATATATACCTGTGGTGCCCAAATCTCCTCATACTTGGAGGCAATGAGCATGGAGCTCACCCCTACAAGCTGCAGTTCTCTCCTCACTACATGTTCCATCGACAAATACCGATCGATTATATAAAATGTAAGATATAGAGTCTCTGGAGTTAGCTCAAATTTATGATGCACTTCAATTAACCAATCTCCGAGAATGGCCCTCATCTTCTCATTAATCTCTACCTGAGAGTCCATATAGTCATGAGGCCTGCTTGCATTCTGCATCACATAAATAATAAATACAGTTATGATCAAGATAAAAGAAGTGACAGATCGCTAATGAATTGAATTGAATAGAGAATCAAACCTCATGAAGCTTATAGAACTTGTATAGATCCTCAACATAGTCCACAACCGCCAGCTGATCATCAACATCTGACGCATCAATATCCGCTACAGGGTCTTTGACTTTCTCAGCAATTCCGCAAGCAACCTGTAACAAGAACAAGCGGAATCCAAAAATAAGTTCAAAAGGTCAACATCACAATTGAATCAAAATGAGAAAGATTTGATCTTGTTACCTTGCTACGAGCACTGAGGACCGAACTCATCGTGTTAACCTTCTTCTTCTTCGCGGTCTCATTCGAATCAGGACTGATCTCAATGACAACCTCAGGCTTGGGCTTGACTGTGGCCTTCGGCTTGGTTTCTTTAACACGAGGTTTTCGAACTGCTTGTCCATCAACAGCAAGATCTACTAGCTTCTGCACATCACAACAAAGATACCAACAAGAATCGAATCAAATTTATTCGCAAAACTATAAAAAAATCCATCATTCTTTGTTGTAATAGGGTTTTACCTTGTTCTCAATTGCGACAGCGGCCGCAGCTTGGGCGTTTGCGAGGAGTTGAGCACCGAAGCTTCTGATAGAAAAGATGCATTCAAATTATGGATCAAGAACATAAGACAAGAATTACGCAGAAAAACATGGTTTGGGTTTTGAGACCACCTTGTAATTGGCCGAGAAATCTGAGGCAATGGCTTTCCTTCGACGACAGCAGGGCGGGCAGGCACGAGGTTTCCAATATCTCCGAGGGCTCTGCGGGCCTTTCCATCAGGACCAGGAGCAGCATTCTTCGCCTTTCCTTTCGGTATCCCACCTGATGATCGAAGAGACATGCCATCAAACATCACAATCGCAGGAAATTTGTCCCAAGAAACAAAATCACCATAACGATCAAAATTAGCAAAAATTAGCGGAATAGGAACGCAAAGGGGCTTCTAATGTGAAGCAGATGAAGACCCATTACAGAGAACGATCCCAAAAATGATTAAAACTTGAAATTTGAAGGAAAGAACAAAAACCCTTCAAAATCAAAGAAAGAACAAGAAAAAAAATTAAGAATAGATGAAGACCCATCAAAGAATTTGATTGGAAAACAAAAAAAAAAGAAAAACCAAATCAATGTAACAGCAAGAAACAAAGAATCTCCAAGAGGGCTATTTGAGATTACCTCTCTGTTGCTGAGGAACTGCGACTTGGTGCTTGGTGGCCATGGCTGCTCCTGCTTCTTCTTCTTCTTCTTCTTCTCGAAAGCAAAGAAGAGAAGGATCAAAATTCCTCCTTTTTCTCCTCTCTCTCTCTTTGTTCTTTCGAACTCTTTACTGCTTTTTTTTACGAGAGGGGGTTATGTTTTATACAGCGAGGAGATGATTTTGGACTGGGGACTTTCTTTTTATTTTCCTTAGTTTTTGGTAAGCGGTGGGCTCTAACGGTCTAATTCGTTCGAATCCTCAACGGTCGAATTTTCTTTCCTGTGTGTGTAAGTGGGTCGGGTCGGGTTTAGACCCGTAGTTTGCCCGTTCCTCTTTAATGGCCTGCATTTGGATGGGTTCCTAATTTGGGCTTCCGTCTGCATTTAAAAAAATTATTTTCTTTGACATCTGTATTTTCAATGAAGTGCCAATGTTGGGATTTTGACCTGCTATTACCTCTTAATTTATTAAAAACCAATACTTGTCCGAAAATTATGATTTTATGCATTTTTTAAATAAAAAATTCCGGTGAATTTTCTTGTTCCGAACTGATTACGTAGATTTTACTGATGAAACTTCGATGGTTTGGTTCCGTTTTATAATATGTTGGGGATGAAATTAATTTGAGAACTTTTAATTTGAGCCCATCATATCTCTATGAAAAAAACCCCTCTTATAATCTGAAGTGACAAGATGACCATGGTGGTTTATGAAAAAGACACAAATATCCTTGTTTATAGAAATTTTTGGTGAAAGTTGTTTTGTACAAGAGAAAGGGATGAGGAATAGAGTAGGGAAACACGTATGCTTACGGTTTTGCAATGAGTAATCTGGAGGGGGAAAAGAATTTTTCCCGTAAAAGGGAGTTATATGAAATGACAAAAATATCATCTTATTATTTGTAGAGGCTAGATGATCGTGGCAGTTTACCAAGAAGACAACATTACCCTCATCTAAAAAAAATTTAAAATTTTGGTGGAAGCTGCTCTTAGCCTCTTAGCCAGCTTTCAACCCTAAGAACGTGAGTTATTTGCCCACCACGCTTTCCACAAAGCGTATTTTTTTATTAAAAACTCATTTTGGAATCGAACCCAAAATCGTGATAGTCATATTGGAACCTCTAATCATCCAGGTCACCCACGGTGGGTTCTACGGTAAAACAAGTTTGCAAAAAGCTCCCCAAAAGTTTGCAAAAAGCCTATAATAGTTTATTAAAAAACCCTAAAAGTTTACAAAAAACACCCCGAAAATATTATACATATATAGTTACTATAGTTAAATGGGCAAATAGGCGACCCGTTTATTAAATGGGCGGGCAAAAACCCGCTCATTTAAATAATGTTAAATGAGCCATAAATGGGTAAATGGGCAAAACATGCCCGCCCATTTATGGCCCGTCCAGTTAAAACTCATACCCACTCATTTAACATCTCTAGTTCTACCACGCTTCTCTAACAAAGTGATTGATATTTTACTTAGATCTATCAAGTTAATTGACCTCTAATTTCCCATTATGCATAATGGGCTGTATAAACAAGTGGGTATGAAAAAAAAAGTGAACCCAATAGGGTCTAGCCAAATTGATAAGCTGCCTATGAGTAGTATTCCAATGTCTAGGGTTCAACTCTCCAGAGAAGCACCCGCAAAAATTTATTTTTCTACAATAGTGGAGAAATTCTCTCGTCGAACCGAGAAAGAACAAAAAATAAAAAGAAAGAGTGAAATGGTAGCAACATTACCTATTGACTCTCGTACTAAGTTCGAGATTTTTATATATAGTGTAAAAATGAGAAAGCTTTCGTAAAACGTCACAATCTCACAAATAGATTCTTCATCTTTAAATCCAAAAAGTTTAGATTCCTCCGGATCTAAAATTAAATTACTTCATTTCTAGCCATCAATATATTAATCACAGTTCAACAACTATCATTCCTCTTTATGTAAACTTCTTTTTTTCTTCCTTTTTCCCTGGTGGAGAGGAAAAAAAAAATCAATTAGCCAATGCAATTTATATGGAGACATTAATTAGTGAAGCCAAAATCATGGGCAATCACGAGAAACTACCGGAAACTTTGAAGAAATCCACGGAAAACCGAATCATAGTTTTATGATGATAACTTGAAAGTACAACACGATTATTTGAAGGTAACATAAAATTCACGATAACTTTATGACTTTCTTTGAAAATCCATCATAAAACATATATAAATATCGACTGTTTATTTTGTGGTAGTTTAACAGTAGTATATATGATATGATAGTTTTCTCTTGGTTTTTTGAAGTTTATGATAGTCCTCTCCAACACGTATAGTTTCGTTTTCATAATTTTGTGAAAAGCCTTTAAAATGTTTCAAGGTAATTTTGTGAAATTTATCTTCTTTTATCTCAACACGTGCGCGTGCATCGCACGGACCACACACCCGTTGGTCATCCCTTTTCTCCCCCCAGAGTCCAGCCACCAGTACCCCCTTTGCTTCATCTCAATCCCCCACGCAAAAAAAAAGAAAAAAAAAACCCTAATTCCCCAAATCAAACCCCACGATTTGGGGATTTGATCAAAGAGTGGCCGATCATGGGGACACTGGGGAAGGCGATCTACACCGTGGGATTCTGGATTCGGGAGACTGGGCAGGCCATGGATCGCCTCGGCTCCCGCCTCCAGGGCAACTACTACTTCCATGAACAATGTAAGCTTCCTGCTCACCGAAGCCCTAATCGGGCTCGTTTCATTGGTTTTATTAGGCCGTAGGACCTCGAGTAGGGCGTCCCTGATGAAAAGATTTCGCCTTGATTTGTTCAGCTCAACTTAAAAGAAATTTAGAATGAGTATTGGTGAACGAGCAGTCATGGGAATCTAACTTGTTACCACTGACTCTGAGATTACTCAGATAATTTCTTATTTTAATCCTTCATTCTTGCGAACATTACTGCTATGGAGTTACTCAAATTTGCAAATATGCGAACCTGGACGCAGTATTCTTGTTTGGGTTGGTGATTAGTTGCTAACCTAGATGCAAGGCCCTATTCCCAATAGGATTTGGGTTCCCATTGTCCGACGGAGATGAGGACAAAACTCAAATAGGAACTCATGCTTGGAGGGGCTAATCGCAAGTCCAGCGAGCATCACAATACTTGTCGGGTGGGAACTACCCATCGGATCAAATCCAATTTGATTTCGTCCAGTGAAGCAGCGACTTTGAGGATCATATTCACCTATATCGTCTGATCTATATATGTGCCCCTATGATCTGTGAAATATTGGTTTTTTCTACGACTTGTAGAGATTGTTTGAGAGTGATTGTGCTTGAGATTTGGAGAGTGATTCTTCATAACAATTACTAATGGTATTTCATATAAAATGTTGTTATAGTCTTACCATCTAGGATGACAATTTCTCTGGTGGAACCAAGTACTGTTCTATTGGTGGTGTGTTCTTGTCTATACAGTTGTAGAGGTGGGAGCGAGCTAATATAATGCAAAACAAGGAACGATAATACTACTTGTATCTGCTTAACTGTTAAATTCATTATGAACCATGAACTTGGTGCCACAATTTCTATGTTTTAACCAACATTTGGAAATTAAATTGTGTTTATTATCACCCTAAACGAGAACTTGATGCAACATTTGCTTCTAACCTTTCGGATTTTGAGCTACCTTGCACTTCTGTACTCTACGAAGCAATACCTTGATGCGATAAGATGCTTATTCGCTTTCAATCTTTTGTGTTAAGTTGTCTTTCTTATAAACTTCTTGCTCAACTTAAACCCTTCTCACTGTTGCCAATGTATGTCTGGTGCCAGTTCCATCGGACACAAATAGTCAAGCCCTATTTTGTTTATACAAGGTAACACGGGAACCTTCCGGATCCTGTTATGTTTAAGTCTGTGCTCATTCTACTGTAGAGCATACTGATTTCTATGTGAATTTAGTCTTTTTGATGTACTCATTCTTATAGAGGCAATGCATGTAAAATTTTAGCATATGTAGGGGAACAGTTGTTGAAGAAGGAAATTGATGTCAGTTCCTGATTATCCCTAGAGATCATAATAATAATAATAATTGGGTGGTATCAAAGTCCAGATGAATTTAAACCAGAACTATAGTCAGTTTCCATTTTTGTCCTTAATTACTGAGTTTTAATGACCTTCTAGTTGATCATCTTGCAAATTGTTAATCCTTATTTAATACTGCAAAGCTGGGATCTTGTACAGAGATGCATGTCAAGTGTCAACTGCAAGCCCACTCTAAACAGCAAATAGTATGTAAAGAAAATGATCCTTTACCCTGATTTCATGTGTAAGGTATGAATTGGATTGCAGCAGATAGTACTTAATAGTATCTCTTTGCCTGTCACTCGACATGACAAATAGTTTTCTCTGTGTACACTATGCATATAGAGTGTTCACATGGAGAAGGTCCTTGAATCTATGAGAGTTTAGGCAAATATAAGTCTTAATAGTCCAAGATGCATGATACATTTTAATAATAAATTAATAATAAAGGTTGTGCCTCAGTTGCACGAGCAAAATAACATATGTTTGAGGTTGTCATATTCCTTAATTGTTCTTAAGGTATAAAATTAACCTTTAACCGGCACTGCAACTTCAGAGTTTTAGTGTAGTGGCAGTGACCTTTGACATGGTGTTAGAGAGCAACTCAGGTTTGAATCTTACTAGCCACAAATTTCTAAAGTGGATTTAAAAGAAAATATTGATGTGTGAATTGATGTTTCGCCCCATGAAAGAGCCCTCAACCTACGACGACATGTTAGAATATTAAACTTATAGCCCTCAACCTACGACGACATGTTAGAATATTAAACTTATAGCCCTCAACCTTCCCCACAATATTGGAGTTCTGGTGTAGTGGCTGAGACCTTTGCTAATTGCTATGATCATCATGGAGATATATATTGCTTAATGGAGGCACTAGCTACCTTCTGTTTAATGTTCTTATATTTTTGCTCGTAGACAAGCATAATAGCTAAAAGTGTAAAACTTACATTTAAAATGATTATCAGATTATGTTTTGGAGTGTGTTCTTTACTCATATAAAACAAAATCCAAATGTTGTGTTATGTATACATTCCCGGTGGCAACCATCCATTCAAAATCCTCCTTGGCTTAACAGGCAAACATTGATCAACTTGGCACATAAGGTTGCTTGCTTGACTGTTTCTCGCACAACCGCCTAAGCAGAAATCTGTTTAAGCTTGGCATAAAAGGAGCAACTATGTTTATTCTTGTCATGTGGACCGTGGTTTACTATTCAAGAGGTTTGTAACACAACCTTGAACAATCAAGTGTGCGACCCACATTGCCACTGCCACATGTGAATCCCTAATATTTGTGACTTTTAAGGCTAAGTTTTAGACCCGTCTGGATCATCCAATTCTATGTTCTACACAGACCGGGTATATTGAAAAAGGTTGCAAGTGTATGAAATTATTAAACCATCTTATGAAAGCTATGATCTATAGACATGAACTAAGTGTCCAAAATCTAGATATAAGCATATGACCATATTTGTAGATTTTATAAATATGTGTGTACATATATGATATATTTTGCTTTATTATATGCATGAAACAAAATGCAATTTTTTTAATAAAAAAACCATCATTGAAAATATATCTCATTCATCTAGAAGTGTCATTCTTCATTATGGACAAGTGGTTTCATTTTCTGAATTCATGGATATCAATGTCTTATATTTCAGTGTCAAGGCATCGGACACTTATGAATATATTTGACAAAGCACCCAGTGTTGACAAGGACGCATTTGTGGCTCCAAGTGCTTCTGTTATTGGAGATGTTCAAGTGGGACGGGGGTCCTCAATTTGGTATGGATGTGTATTAAGAGGTATGTTTCATTTAGTGAACAATTGTTAGTTGATGCTTTTATTTTATTTTATTTTATTTTATTTTTGCTGAATGGAAATTGTTTTATTTTTTGCGCAGGTGATGTTAACAACATCAAGGTGGGATCTGGAACTAATATTCAGGACAACTCTCTAGTTCATGTAGCAAAATCTAATTTAAGTGGGAAGGTATTACCAACCATTATTGGAGATAATGTTACTATTGGTAAGTGCAGACTTATTCCCTTCTTCTTTTTACTGTAAAGATCCAATTGAATCTATGACATTAAAATACTAACCTGCACTGCACATGTGAGCACTTGGACTGCAGGCAAGAGATGACAACACTCTCCCACCCAAAAAAAAAAGCACCCACCAGACACACAACACACTATACTGAAAAAGATAAAGGGGAAAAAACACGCTGATCCCCACACAGAAAAAGAGCAAGGTACTATAATCAAATCCACACCCCAAATTACTATGAAAAATAATATAGAGTTGATTATGGAGCTGAGTTCCAAAGCGAACGCTCTGCTATTTACTAATTTAGTTTCCAGTACCATCTGTCGTCCTGACATAGACTTATGAGTCAACAATATATTTCGAGTCAAACAAATTATGGTAGGGCTAAAATAGAGTAGATGTATTAATAACTATAGTAGGGCAACTGAATGAGAAAATGAAACACCCACTGGATCCGCTTCAAATTTTAGGAAGTACTGTATATTCAATCAAATCATGGTTTTCCAGACCATTTAGACCACTGTTATCCAAATATCACAGTTCACTATTATACTGTTAGCAATTTCAAATATCCAGTTAGTGCACTATTTAATATCCAAGCTATCAAAATAAACCGTAATTTACTACTATAGGCTGCAATGGATGTTTTAATTTTTCAATTTCTATTTTTTAAATAAATAACAATAACTTCTTTGAGCACTTACATGGGGAATTTCCTTGTTTGCAAAAGCTCATTTACGCTATTACATACAGTACATACACTCTAAAACTTGTTAACTTGAATGAATCTGTAAAACAAAGAAGATAAGAGGCAACAACAAATTTATTCATCTTCAAGGCACATTGCAAGACAACGGATAGAAGAAAAATGTCAGGGAAAATGCTTTTAACTGGAGCGATGGAAGGTTTCTTTTTCAATTAGTTTAATCACTGCAAGCACAGTCTAAACTTGAAAATGATGGATTTATTTTTTGATTAGTAAAGAGGCCTTTGATAAGAGAGATCATTTATCAGGTCATAGTGCCGTTCTTCATGGGTGTACTATTGAGGATGAAGCTTTTGTTGGTATGGGTGCTACACTGCTTGATGGGGTGGTCGTGGAAAAACATGGCATGGTTGCTGCTGGATCCCTTGTGAGACAGAATACAAGGATCCCTTGTGGAGAGGTACTCCTCAATCTATTTTCTGTCATAAATAGAACCATAGTGCCCTGAATTGTTGCAGATTAATATATTTGCAGCTATTTCAGCAGATAATTTTGCATAAATATTTTTTATTTTATTTATTTTGGTTTAGATGTCTTCATTTGTATCCAATTGATTGATTACAGATGTCAATAACGTTTGCATTTATTATATGCAATATGCATTTCTACATCTTTTTTGCTATCTGTTTAATTATTATACATTTCATTAGATTAGACACATGACAGTGTACCATGGAATTCTATGTGACGGAAGAAGTAAAACTCTCCTGATAATAAAAAAGTGAAAGAATTGTACAACGTGAACATTTTGTTTGAGATTTTGATCTTTCCTCGGTCATGAACTGTACATTGTTTCTAAAAGTGGTCTGAATTTAGTACGGCCTCAGTTCAAATATGACATGTTTGGAGGAACTTTCTATTGAACAATTTTTCGAGGAAAAAAAAGCGTGCATCTGTTCTGGATTTTATAACCATGCTGAAATATATGGGTCTCTTGCAAAGCAGCAGAACTCCTTGAACCTGTAGTGGAGATTGGCAAACATATTGTTTTTGTATTTGTAGTTTTGTACCTAACATGAGTCTAACTGAAATCTTGACCTGTTTCCAGTATTTAAGCACATGCAACGTTTTCTGTTTTACGCGTTTAGTTCTCGATAGTCTAAAACCCTCAAAGAACAGTGTTTTTTTCCTTTTCTGTTTTGTGATCTTTTCAGTTTTTATTGCATGTTGATTGGTGCACAAGATTAGGATATATAACTTTATCAGATTATTCTCATATACTTCTTTGCGCATGATTCAATAAGCAAATGTTCTTATGGTTCCTGGTTGACTCATTGTCATAGATATTCTTAGTTCATATGTACTTTGGACCATTAAAATTCCTAGTATTTTATGAGATATTCGTCTAAGGAGTAATCATATTTCTTTTAGACCTTTTCTAGAAAGAAATAAAATGTGTCCTAGAAGGAAATAGGTGGTTTCATTTAATATCTCAATCATTTCACTTGATGTTCTATGAGCTTGAAGTTTTTGTTGACCAATTAAAGAAATCTAAAGATCAAATGACAGGTTTGGGCTGGTAATCCAGCAAAGTTCCTCAGGAATCTCACTGAAGAAGAGATTGCGTTCATTTCCCAATCAGCAGTAAACTACGTCAATCTTGCCCAGGTCCATGCTGCTGAAAATGCAAAGACATTTGATGAGATCGAGTTTGAGAAGGCGCTTCGCAAGAAGTTTGCTCACAGAGACGAGGAGTACGATTCAATGCTCGGAGTAGTTCGTGAAGTCCCACCAGAGCTCATACTTCCTGATAACATACTACCAGGCAAAGCTCTGAAGCCATCACAATGAATCAATCCATTGGACTGATTTCTTGTATGTTTGTTGTAGTTTGATTTGCATCTTTGAAGAGGATGGTGGTTTTATTTCTTTCCACCCCACAATAATTTTTAAGATCAACCCCAGCAGCTATTGAGCTCGTGAGATTCTTGATCCTTGTTGTTACATTGAAATCGAATATTTCTTGATTATGTTGCCAAAAATTGGCAATATTGGCTGTATTATCAGCTTTATGTTGTGTGTTGCAAATGTGAAGCATATTGTTTCTGGAAGGGAAGACTTGTTTCTATTAATAAAGGTCTATAACTACGCTCTCCTGTTTGAATTGCTTAAATTATGTATACCCGGAGTATCAATGGAATGAATGCACTAATAATGAAAGGCTCAGACGTACTGTGGAGGTGTATGCGATTTTGTAATGTTCGACTTTTGTACATCCTCTGTTAGCTTCAATTTGTTTAAGATGATATGCTATCTTTTTTACTTTTTTTTACGGGGAACCTCCCACGATCTTTGGGACCATGGTTATCATACCTTTGGATGTGGCTAAGGGGCAACCCCACGCACGGTCTCGAGTATTTTAGAAAATTAAGTTTATATGAGTGCTCTTCAAAAGAGTTTAACCTGAGATCTTGGAGTACTACTCATAGACAGTTTACAAACTCAGCTAGAGTTCTGCCAACAAGTCTTTTACTTGTATACAATTTGTGCTCCATTTGTTCCTTCTCCATTTCCCGTCCTTTGGGCCACAGTAAAAGGGATTGCATTTGTCGTCCTCATTTTAAACTTTAAGGGTTTTTATTTTTAGGCCCAATTGTTTACCATGATTTATGTATAAACCCAATAACTTATTTTTGTATCATTGAACCCAAATAACTTTATGTATTTATCTCTAAACCCAACTTCTAAAATACAATACATACATATGTGGGCCCCCTTAAATTTTTTAAAAACCCAATTATACCCTTCTCTCATATCTCCCGGGTTCTAATTTATGTGGGCCCCTTAAATTAGAAAAGCGCGTGGGGCCACAAATTAAGCAGGAGATGCATTTTCTGATCGTGTGGGGGCCACAAATGGGG